TACACTAGAACTTACAGCCGAAACTGTTATATTACCCCATTTTTCCTAAAAATAATTTTCAATAATTTGTATTAGCTGTAGTGAATCTTGGCCAGCAGAATATTTTATCATTTTTTTGCAATATAAACAATGTTTTCTGAAATATCTAACAACTTAATTACATTCTGTATAATTATTTTCTAACATAAAGTAATTTAACTTTTCCATCCCGGCTCCAGGAAAACGGTATGGAACACAATGCCATTGAATAGAGAGAAATAGAATAATACCAATGAGTGTGGACTGTAATAGCTCATGCTTGCCATCGAAAGGGTATGGTAAAATTAATTACTATCTTTATAGCTCTCACATCTAAATACAATTAAACGTCTCATATTTATTACGCCTGATGCGTCGGCTTAACATACTGTACATTTTTTGACAATGTGAACATCACTATATTTAAATAAATAAATAAATAAATAATGTTTATTGAGCAACTATAAATACATTAGTGTCTCAAAATGAATGAAGTCGGCTGAGCCGTTTTTCAATTGATCCTCATTATAACAGAAAAAATGTTCACAAAATCATTATTTTAAATTAAATCATTGTCTTGAAATAAGAACTTGCCTAATAGTCAACAAAATGATTAAAATTCAAATTATTAAGTTCTGAAATCAACAATAATGGTGCTACGTATCTAAAACAACCTTGGAATTTTGAAGTTCTATGCATTGGGGTTGTAAAAGTTTTCACTCTTAAATTTACATTATGTAAAGTTGATCTTTTTAGTAAGATATTGTGGAATTTTAAACATTAAAATTAAAAAAAAAATTAAAAATAGATACTTTACCCTTTCCTGAATTTTATATTTATTTGTATGAAGAAACATGATTTCTATAAGGAATATTACAAGTACATCTTATACAAGAATTTTGAATCTTCTGAAGTTTCTCTCAGTTATATTTAGTAAGAAAGTGGTAATAAACTATAGGTACTGTTGTTGTACTTTTTAGTGTCATTTGTAAAATGTTGATGGGGTCCTAAAGAATACAATAGCCATTAAGATTCTTAATGCCATGGTACAAAAGTAATCGTAGTCTATATGAATGAAATTTTTTTACAGATAAAGGATTATTGTTCCATCCATACCTAGCCCTAGAAATAAAATGTAATTACATCATACAATTAAACTAATACTATTCCATATACTGCAGAAAAATGGCTCTAAGTGATCTGTACTAAGTTTATATATTAACAGTTTACATATTTCTCATATAAACTTATTACAAACTTTATAAAATAAATCACTATTCTTCTTCGGTCACTGAATAACATAACTGCTGTCAAAGGTTTTAAGTTTCTTTATATATTCTATTGCAGCTTACATTCCAGACATCCATATAGTCTCCGTTTTTTGAGACAAAGGCATTTTCCATTGAAATCTAAAAAGATTTCGAGAATTTAGTAAATCGAACAGTTTCTCAAATGTCCTTATACAATTAATAGTAATGTTACTTAGTATTTGTAATTTCTAAATTCGTTTAAGTGTACAAACCTTCATGTCTTTCTCCAATACATATGGGCCACTCTTAATTTGCTACCCAAACGTAACTTTCTGTTTGTTAAATATAATGCAACAATTTTATATAATTAAAATCAATAATTTCGCCATTAGTTTCGACAATTATAGTAAGATTATCCCAGTTATTCCAAGCCAACTTAAGTATGTGACATGCATCTAAAATTATAAAAAATATACTTTTATCTATGGCGAATGCAAGAAATATGGAGTTGCAGTGTCAATATCAAAGTTGTATGGTTTACATCTAATGTTATCATTGTAAGTCCATCAAATGATAATTAGGTGATGATAACTTCATATTCACGCAATTTTAGAAGAGCCTATAACGCCACATGTCTTCTTTCATTACCATCTAAACCCTAATAAAAAATAACCAACTGGCAACTTCTATAATTCCTCGTTAGATTCTGAATTAATAATATTCGTTAAAGCTGAAGGTTGTAAATTTCTAAAAATAATAGGGATAATTAACAATTTTTTATCACTTTCTTAGAAACTATAAAAAGAAACAAATTGATATTTTCCTACGACCACTTAGGAAAGTGACACATATCACACTATATAGACCTATGGAAAGTGCCCTATATCACACGCGTATGAATAAGAATGTACTTTCCACCCAAGTGAGAATATGCTACTTTCCGCAGTAGCTGTCAGAAAATGTCAAACACATAATTTCTATTTTGATCTATGTAATGTCCATATTAATACTAAAATCGATATGATTGTTAAATTATTGTAAATTAGATCCTAGATATTTATCTTTAACAATTATTTTTAAAATAATTTTAAAATAACTAAGATATATTTGCTTTTTATTCTGGTTAAACACATAAGCGATTAGATCAATCAATTACCGTAAGGCCTGTTAGCTCAGTTGGTTAGAGCATCAACTTTGCAATTTGAGACCGTCCAACGACCGCGATCGAATCCTGGCTGTGCCAGAATTTTTTTTTTATTTTTTTTTATTTGTTTAGAAATTATGAAAATTTAATAAATACGATTATTGTTGATTATTTTTTTAAATACATTTTAATTATTATAATAATCTGGTTTTACATTTTTTGATGAAATTATTTTGTGGTCGTAGGAAAAATATTGTACATCACTTGTGTGAAAAGTGATTTTCCACACTCGTGTGATAGTCGCACTCGGCTTACGCCTCGTGCGACAATATTTCCCACTCGTGTGAAAAATGTCACTTTCCACACTCGTAATGTAATATACTATTTTATGTATATATATTTACCTCATAACGCTAATGTTATAAAAATCTTCAATTTTAGGCATATTTATGGAAGGTATTGCATTATTTTTTTATTGTATCTATTCGTTTTGAAACGATTAAATCATCTTTATGAAAATGGGAGGAACAAATAGCGTTATTTGCTTTGCACTTATATTTTCCAATGATTTCTTCCAATAGCTATTAACCAAGAAGCATACGCCTTTCCCTCAATCTAAAAAAATTATAGCAATATCAACGTTAGATACCTACATACAGTTTGTTATTGTCTAAAAAATGTGGTGAAGAATACGGTTCTGGTAGAAAAGATGTCTTACTTGTGGAATGTAATGTTTTCTGAATCCTCGTTGTTTAAACAACCAAAAACAAAGCAAATCTTTCCCATTTAATTAATTGTCTATAGTAAAAACTTCTAAAATTCTTTTAAATTCACTAAAACAGCGAATTTCGAATAAAATCAAGACTAGTTGACATAAATGATACTTCTATCAAAACACTTCAACAACTGCGCATGTGCGTTGTACGCTTAAATTGCCAACATGGCGTGATTATTTTGAAACACCGGGGAAAATGGCCTTTTCCTATCTCCTCTATCCAAATCTGTGGGTACAACTGATCCTACCTATTTAAAAAGTGGTCAGAGTTATAATTATTTACATACCTTCAGGGATTACATTATTTCCATCACTTTCAAAATGCCTCCAAAAAGCCATCTTTTTTAAATTAAAAATCAGTAATGTCAATACAACACTGGATAAACAAACACTGTCCACCTGCTCTCACTCAATACGGCGATGACACACCCAAGCCTGGCGAACATCCAATTAGAAGATAAGTTGAGCTAAATCACAGACTTACGATTGGATATCCCAGTCCACGTTTAGCGGCATATATTACGGGCTATCGTGTGCTCTACAAATAGAAATTTGAGAAATGCTTAATTCAGCCAATAGCAGGATGCTGAAATTAAGCTGTATAACATTAATCTGACCTAAACGTGCTTGTCATACAACGATGCCAGGCATAAAATATTTATGTCATTCTAGCTCCGAATATATTTGTTCGAAGGGTCGTTGCGCTAAATGTACACATTCGTTTAGCTGTAATGGAATTAAACGCATCACTTTTTTGCAGTTTCACAACTGTGTTTTCTAAGTCTGAACGTCGGAGGTGTCTTTGTCAATTATATGTGGATATACTAATAATACTGATATTTAATTGTGGAATAGTAAAATTTATTTGTGCCGTCGACTATATGATACGATAATGGAAAACGCATTCCACCAGGAGTCTGTAGGTTGGTAAAACTGTGTTGTAAAACTAAATTTTAAAATTAGGTTGTAAAACAACTTTATAAAACTAGGTTGTAGAACTAGATTGTAAAATGTTAATCTCGGTTGTAAAAAATGTAATCATAAAAATTTTACAAAAAAAATTACTATTGACACTATTTTCTATATGTTGGTTGTAAAAATAGATTGAAAAATTGGACTGCAGAAGCTGGTTTGTAAAACTAGATTGTTCAAAATATCTGAATTAAATTTTTAAGACGGAGATTTCAACAGAAAAATGGCAATATTCTAATTCTTTTTTTTTTTTCAACAAAATTTTTTTCATTGACATTTTCATAAAAAAAATTAGGTTGGAAAATTTAATTATAGAAGCTGGGTTGTAAAACTACATCGTAAATCTAAAGTGTTCTCATAAAAAATTCGGGATTAAATTTTCAAGACTCCCGCTTTTGTAATCCAATTTTTCATCCTAGTTTTACAACCAACATATTATGCAAAATAATATGTCATACAAATGTTGATAAAAAAATTGATTATTCCCATTTTTCTGTTGAAATCTCCCATATAAGTTGTTTAAAAAAAGTTCACCGGTTGCAAAGCAACCCGCAATGGCTTCAGGCAGTGTGTCTAGGCCATACAGCTTAGAAACTATTGCTCTGAGGACAAAATCTTATTTTTGATAGAAAATCTCATTATCTTTAATTTTGCATATCGCAGTTTTTTACCATAAGACAGGTAGAAAATGAGTTATTGCGGAAACCACTGCATATTTTAGAGAGTAACAGCTCTGAAGTAATTTATTTATTTTTTACTGACCCCAAATAATAAGGCATTTAATGGCAAAAGATACGTCACGCCCAGACTAATTACGATGGTAAGTAAAACAAATGTAGAGTAATAATCAGATATAATTTTATTAAAAATATTAGGTACTATTAAGTAACATCAATCACATAAAAACAATAACTAAATTTTAACAATAGTATTACAGAGACAATTCATATTCATTCATCACTGCATATATCCAAATTAGGACTACTTAAAGACAATATTTCTAGACCTATTTTTATTTTATACATCAAATTCAGCTTTATTTCAAAATAGATTTTTAACTTTGAGTTAGAATCCAAAAAACAACCTCTGAAATGAGCAAAACAATTTCTATTGCATTGAATGTCGCAAAAAGATTCAAATCAGTCTGTACTTAGGCTGGCCCTTATTATTATTATAAAGAAATACATGTTTTTAAAATCGTTATCAAAATTCTGAAATGATACATACAGGGTCATTTAAAAGTTGAAACTTTACTTTTAACAGCTTAAAGAACTACAAAAACAAATAAATTCAAATTTTGTAGTAACTCAATAAAGGCCTAATTTTATTTAATAGTCCAGTCTTGTGTGAGGCTTTTTTTGTAGTTCATAGGTATATTCTTGTTTTTAATTTTATTAAACACTCATTCTTTTTTGTTGAGAAGCAACATAATAAACTTTTAAATCACCCTGTAGAATTAATAAATGGAAATGTTGTGGTACCAACATATTATAAAAATTGGACAATTTAACTGTAGCCTAAGTCTTGATTCTTTAACAAATATATTTTCTAACTGAAAGAATCTTTTTAATTTGTAACTTTTAAATAAGCCTTTTTGCGCCATTCGCATTACCTCAAGCAATTATTGAATAATATCAATTTTTTATTGTATTGAAATGATTTTTTTTTTTTTTTCATTTAGGGACGGGAAATATTCCGTATGGTCCATAGGCTCGGAAATAGGACAAATAATCAAATATTTATTATTTATGGACATAGAACCAACGGAAAAATGGATGAATACGGATTTATTCGATTTTAATCGAATTTATAAAACACCCATTATGCATGAGCCGACAACAAAATTTTTGTTTTCCATTAAGTTGCCTCTTAACACATAGCTACCCTAGATTTCTAAGTTTTAGTTTAAATTTTCAGTGATTAACAGTCATAGAAAGGAGTAAATAATACAGAACACTGTTTAGTGGAAGTGACTATTGAAGTTACAAACTACTACTATTAATGATATAAAAAATAGTGAAGAGTACTAAGGAAACTATGACTGTTTCAAGTATACAGAATAACTCAACTTATTTTCTCAGGATCAAACTTAAAAATACCCATTTTCAAAATTCAAATAACTTGTGCTATTTAAATTTTTTCTTAGTAGTTGATGAGAGAAGAGTGTCGAAAGAGTGATGAAATTTGCACATCAAAAAATTACTTTCAAAACAAAATGACCTGTGAAAGGATTTTTTTAATAACATTTCTCACTCAATTGTATATTTTTTAATCGTATATTGAATCACTCTGTATACTTTTACTATAGAAAAAAAAAACATGGAAATGTTAGAACTCTCCGTTTTTAATTTGATTTAATATTTTCTACCATAAAATTACTTTTTTGTTTATAAAATAGTTAAGTATAATAAAAAAGTGCCCTAATTGGTGAGTCTGATACAAAAAAACATGAAATTTATAATTAGTGATAAAAACAAATATTTTAGCTTAGTTAATAAAATGTTAAATTAAAAAATAAATATAAATTATATAAATAAAGTACGCTAATTCAAAACAAAGTAAATTATGATATAAATAAATAATCAATCTACTTAATATAAATATATACAGTGCAGGTGAAAAATTTAATCACGTAATTAAAGAGTTTGATCATTTTTAAAATATTTTGTTTTGTGAGTAAATAATTATGATTTTGTTAATAACAATTATGCCGTTCACCATTTAATAAACAATTTTTAAAGTTATACTAAAAGTAACAAAAATAAGCTTCAAAAATTGATTTACTACATTAATAGACAGACCATTTAAAAAAAGGTCCTATAAACATATGTCAAACGGAAACATTAAATTGGTTAAGTTAAACAACTTTTTATATCACAATTACTGAAATGGACAGAAAGGAAGTGTTTTTCGAACAACCACTAAAAACGTAGTACACCAAGTGTCAAAAAATGTGACACCTATGTAGTTTTAGTGGAGAAACAATTTATACATATAGAGAACATCCAAGAAACATTTTTGGACCTTCCTATGTTAAAAAAAGTTTTACTAATTTAGATTTAAATAAGACTGTACACATTTAGCAAATAAATTTCAATGTAGCTGTACTATTTAAATATTGACGATTGTCCAACTACATTGTAACAGCTTGCCATTTTGTAACTCTTGACGTTCTGTCAGCGTTTCAACATGTTGTCTTTACTTCAAAATTTTTCTCATGGTTGCACGTTTGAGTTGCAGTTCAAAATCAATTCAAAAGAGATGTATGGAAACTCCCAAATTGTTTCTATGTGGTCAGTTTAACTTTCCTTCTCCAGTTATAAATTTTATGAAACGTTTATATATAATTGCACCACCACCTAATATTATTAGAGTATTGTTTGGTATTTTGGACATTTCTACATTCTGAAAACAACCTTGATATCAAATGGTGTAAAAAAACTACAATAAGATAAAATTATTGTGAAAAATCAAAAAATAAGAGTTTACTGACCCTTTAGGTTTTACGACGGCTGTTCTGTAAAATTTTAGTATTGGTTATACTTATAGCGGATTCGACTCAAATGCTCTTGCTCGATGACAAAGCGCTTTTAGTTCTGAATTGATTTTGGACAGCATTTTTATAATTCAAATTTATATCTAGCAGTGCACACAGCAAGCACGAGCTAGAGTTCGAAATTGGTGTAGCGCATCTTTATCGTTATTCGACTGGCACAGTTAGCACTTGACATTTCAGGTTTCTAACAAATTTTTAACGATATTTATTTATATTTGCCAAACCAAAAATTAAATCTCTATTAATTTCAAAGATTTTCCATTCCCACTAATAATAAAAATAAAGATGGTAATATATTTAAAAATATTAAGCAATTCCTAACCTCCGAAATGACACTGGCACTGAAAAAAAAGTACAGTTCCAAAAAATTCGACCTTTGAGCAAGAGCGTCTGCCAGTCGAACAAAAATTTCACTATGCCTTGGTACCGAGCAATTTGAGTCGAATGCAATAATTGACTTTTAATTAATTAGGTTCTGCCAGTCGAACAGACACCACTTAAAAAAGTCGAACTAAATGCGCATTAATGCAGGCAGTCGAATCCGCTATTAGTGAGCCCATTTGACAGTTAACGGCCCATTCGTTTTGACAGTTTTTCAGTAAAATTCTATAAGATCAAAGTTAGGCATATAAACAAAGGTAGTAGAAGAGGTGATAGTCTTTATCATAATAGTTTCATCTATAATTAGTTATTGGTTTCGAGAATCCTGGTTGGTGTACATTAGAAGATTAACAAAGAGCTGAGTGTCTGAATGCTTAAAACTGGGAAAAGAGAAATATACAGAGAACATTTTTAATTTCTACTTCCTCGTAAAAATTCATGTTCTAGAATTTTCTCCCAAAATTTTCTTTTACTTTTAGGTAGATACAATTAAAATAACGAGTGAATTCGATTCAAGAAGGTGCAGAAATTAAACAAAAAAATAACGTCATTTATGTTTTGTGTTAGCGGTATTTTTCTGCGATGTTAATATACACTGTGTCCCAAAATGGAAGCGTCAATAGGTGTAAATGACAATTTTTGAGTTGGATGTTCATCTTGTGGAGTTCAGTCCTGCTTCATGTAAAACTAATATACCCCAATTGTGAACAAAATTGCTCATTTTAAGGTACCATTTTGAGAACGCGCGACAAACGACAGGAGACCGAGACACCAGTGAGGCAGCAAATATTGCCATACTAAATCTGATGCCGTCGGTCGCGTCTATCGAAATGCGTTTCATATAATTACATGTGTTCAGACACGTTTTGAAGTTGGTCTCGGTCTCAGCTTGCGAAATGGTAGCTTTAAAGGGATTTTTTTTTAAAATACATCTTTATTTTGTGTAATATATTTGTAATATTTTAACTTTGACTTGCCCTAGATATATCTTTTTTGTCTTAAAGGACGAATAAATATTATTTTCGCGTCCAAAACCCCTTTTAAAAGGAAAGTAAATAATGCAAATATATAAAAATATCTCACTAAAAACATACAACCGTAAAGAAGGTTATGATTATATTTTGGTTTTGTTTAAATTATGACACATATTTCATGCGCTTGTGAATTAAATTCTCTCATTATTTCTATTTTATCTACCAAAAAGTAGAAGAAAGTTTTGAAAGAAAATTCCCTTCAAATTTTGGTGAATTTGATTTCAAGAACATGAATTTTTACGAGGATGAAAATTTTCCCCCAATATTTATCTTTCATTAATTTCAAGCATTTTATTTCCTCTCACTTTCAAGCATAAATATGTTTCAGCAAATCCTTCATAACTTGCCTTAATAAAAATGTTTCACCATTTTTAAAAGATGGTTTCAAAGAATGAAGAAGTATTTTGTAGCCTTAAGCCAATATAAACATCAAAATTTTTGTCAGAACAGCTCTTATATATCAGAAATCAAACAATTTGGTGGTTTTATCTTTAGCAATTTAAATCATCGTTGTTAATCGATGTGATACAATTTTTATTAAGAATGTATTTAAAATTATACAAAATACCTTTATACCCTTACCCTAAATGTTATTTAAACCGTTTAAAAATTTGTAATCTGGAAAAAGTTTAGTTAACTTACCATGTTTTTTAGCAGTCTTCCGGCCTTCGAGGCGCGTCCTATAATCTAAAAAAAGTCGTGAGAAAGGCTAGCGCGTAAACAGATAGCCTCGATCTCCGCTAAAAGACGTCTCTCCCGCCCGACCGGCCGCCCCTGGAGTAGTTTCTGTTGTTGGGACGGCGGGCGGCGTTCCGAATCTCCCGATCGACTTCGAGCTCTTCCAATCGTTGGGTGATGTTCAGTTTTTGTTGTACGGCCAGTCGAAGGAGTTGGTTTAGAGTTTTCTTCTCGTCCTCAGCTGCACTCAGTTGCTGTTGCAGTTCATCCACTTGAGTGACGTATTCCTCGCAACGGGCGGCGAACATTGCACGGAGACCTACAATAAAAGTTCTTGATAAATAGGCAGCTTATTTAGCCCTAATTGGGATAGTGTTAATTACACTAAATTAGCGTATTAGTGACGACATAATTTTGGTTCCACTAACAATTATAGTGACAGTATTTTTTTGAGTGCGTTTTGTTTACCTAAATTATATTGTTTTTAAACTTTTATAAATATATTTCTAAAGTAGATAACATGTATAAAGTATATAAACTACTTTTTATGACTGCAAACAATATTTAATAAAAAATAAACATAGTAAAAACGTATATGTCAAATATTGTTAAAAGTTAGGTTATAATTAAATGTCCCTGGAACCCAAATGACGTCACCCTCTTATAGCCCAAGAGTCCACTGCAAATTTTTACCGTCATCTGATAATGAAATGAAATATACCTCAAAGATATTTTATAGCCAATCGCAGTTAAAATAGACATGGCAATGACTGAAAGTCAATTGAAATAAAGCCCAACGCAGCTTTAAAAATAAGAAAAAGAATATATTTAACATATAATCATTACTGACATAAGTTATAATTTATAATCAAATAATACAGAATACAAAATTAAAAATAACATCCGGTTATTTTTATAATCCAGGGTTAATTTTAACCAAATTTTTACAGAATATACCCCTAAGTCAGATATATCTGGAAACTATAAGCTGTGACCTCAAAATAATCCTTACAGATTGGGAGAAAATTGACAACAATATACGTCCAACACTATCCAAGAAAGTAGTTTCTTGTGTACTTATATTAAAAAGGAATATCGGAAGTAAAGTGTATTATTTGAATGAAATTATAGTAGGTGTAGAGCATCAGAAAAAGAGGTGTAGTATTTTAAAATATTGTTAGAGAGTCAGCGAATTAGGAGACCGGCGCCACAGAGGCTGACAGTAACACAACGCGCTCCTCGCAGCGTCCAAAAGGAAATGGGAACCCTTGAATTTTGATTGGACGAATGCAAGCAATTCGATGCCAGTTAAAGACTTTTTATTTTGTGCTTTAATTAATTAGATTTAAACATTGTTTAGTTTTAGAGATATTTAACACAGGGTGTTATAGTATACAGGGTGATAAATCATTTAAAAACAGTATTTTTTAAGTTATTTCGTTTAATTCATTTAACTTCTAACAATATAGTAAGTTTTTTGTTTTGTAACTGTTGCCTTATTTTTTAATAAATTGACTCAACAATAATTGCATTTTCTTTTTCTTAAAAATAAACAAGTAAAATTGACGTATTACTGGTAAAAAACACTATTGAATAACGCTAGCAATCTAGGGTTAAATATAAAATTCTGCAATTTCTCCATTACAGTCCATTTTAGAGAAATCATGTGTGGGACAAAAATTTATAGAGAATGGCTTCACAAACAATTCTTATTCAACAAAAATAATGCACTAGCACTTTCTCTTCTGTTTGTAAACCGATTTTCTGTTTGTTTAGTAGCTATTGACGAGCTTTAGTGTTATCAATAAAAAAAAAATTGGAAATAGTATTTTTTCCCAACCTTTGATATATGAAATCCATAAATATTAATTATGATTTACTAATAAAATTAGACTATAGCGAACATGATGAGCACTCTTTAATTTCTAACCGACATGGACAATATTACATAAACGAATAGAGGATCGTGAAAAACGAAAAAAAAAATTACTCGCTCCTTCTCTTCTAACTTTCCCTCCTTTTCTTCTGCCATGCCTAAATAGTAAGGGATAGAAAAAACTTAAAAACGGAGCCGTAGGCCTAGCCTGAAACGATTACAAATCGCCCAGCTTCCCCCACCCTCTACATCATCCCCACCTCTACTTCACCCCCACCCGAGGGGAGGTCCATATATATAGAACCCCTAGACTCGTGATTTTATCAATCAGTTTGTTTTCGTGGTTTTTCCAAATAAAGACGTTATCGTCAAAACTAAAAATTCAATCAATAAAATTTGAAGAACTCATAGTAATCTATTTGGCTTGTTGCGTTAGCCATGGAAATTAGGTTACTAAATCTAGTATTAGGTCTAGATATTTTATCTGGCTTGTTGTGTTAGCCATAAGTTTAAAAACTGAGTTTCTATGTGCCATTAGGAATACAGTCCTTTAAGTGTTTAGTGTCCTTAGCAGTTCATCTGCCACTACTCCAATTTTATTACCTTTTTTCTCTCAGAAATATTATTAATAATGGTCTACAAATTTTTGGTGTAGTTAAGTATATTTTTTATTTAATTTTTATATTAATTGTATTTTGTTTTACTAGAATAAATAAATAAATACATTTTTTCATAGATGACTTTTAAATCCTTAATATTTGATGAGTAGAAGTAACAAAGGAGATAAGCGTCAATTTTTCGAAAAATTATATATTATAAACAGAATCTAAGTGCCATTGACTACATCCTATTATTATATAAAAAAAGAGGGCGAAGTACCCAGACTTGAAATTTCTTGAAAAAAACATGCTGTTTTTTTTAATTTCTCGGTTTAATAATTTTGGCGCTTAGTTCCTCTCAATTATGAAAATGAGTCATAAAGTTTACTTAAAATTCTTCCACTTAATAATAATTTTTAATCCTTCCACTTAATAATCATTTTTATTAGGTTTTCCATTAATTTCTGCCTGCAGGCATGCAGCTGATACTCGACGTGTTTTTGGCATGTAAAGAAAAGCAGTAAGGGTATTGAGTGGTTTGGATTTCAGGGAGGACTGTAGGAAAAATCCTGATGTCTTTGTGATGCATCATAGCGTACATAATTATGAAACCAGGAGCAGGTATGCTTTGGTGCCTATCTATTAGCGTCTGGGAAGGTGTCAGGATGGCCTGGGTTATTGGGCTATTCAATTTTTTAACAGAACTCCAGCTGTAATTATAAACTTGCCAATTTTAACTTTTAAAAAAACAATTAAACAGATCTTGATAAAAAATTATTTTTATTCTTTAGAGGAATTTCTCAATTTTGTCTTTAATGTGTACATGCGCTATTGCTTCTAATCTATGTGTATTTATTGCTTTAATGCATTTATTTATAATTAGATATTTTTATATTTTAGATTTTTATTTTAGCATCTTAGGTATATCGGTATTTCAGATTTAATTTTATCTAACTTATGTAAGTTGCATTCTGTAACAATGGCATGAATAAATTTTGATTTGATTTGGAAACAAATCGGATTGTAAGGTTAAAATATTCAATTTATATTTATTACAGAGAATAAATTATTAAGTTTTATCCTCAGGCAATTTAACACAAAGATAACTTACTCGAGAATGTTGCTGCATCTTCTTTAAGTAGCCTCAATTCGTTTCTTAATTTCATCATGGTTTCTGAAATGATGGTCTTCTCTTTTTCATATTTGCCCTTTAAATTGGTGAGGGCCACTTCGGCAGTGTTTTTGTTGGACTTAAGTACTGTTCGTAGGGTGGCAATTTGTTCTCGTTTTGTGGATAACAAGCTCTTCAACCTTACCACTTGTTCTTGCAATTCCTGAATTTCCGATTCACTGGACTCATCCCGAGAAGCTGAAAGAAAAAAGTTTTGATTTGTTCGTTATTTACTATGATGGAATTTCAAAATAACTTACATCCATATGAATCATCAGTATTGCTTCTTTTATTCTTGCTTAGTTCTATAGTACTTTCCACAGCTGTTCTTAAGTGTTTAATCTGATCAACAATGGTCGATACATTTCTCGATAGAACAGTTGTATCATTTAATGGTTCTAAATCGTGTAATGGAATGTCATTTTTTAATCTGCTCCTTAATAATTCTATTTTTGACATTTCTCCTATAGCTGATGGTGCTGTTTCAGTCACTAAAAAATAAACGTTTCTTTTAATTTGAAGTAAATAAAAATGACACATGACTTTTTTTTATTGTAGTTGCTTTGGCATTTTTTAAAACTGTTTAAGAAACCAGAAAGATGGGTTAACCAAAAAAATACATGGAGCCACAACTTAACCAAGGTGATAAATAATAATAGCCGGAGAGGTAGTAACACACATTTCATTAAGTGTTTGATGCACTTTGAAATTTTGTAATTTGAAATCGTTTGGATGGAAAAGCAGATATACCTGTGTTGGCTAGACCCACCCCGGGACACCAGGTACTGCGCATAATAGAAAGGGGTCGTAAAATATGACCCAAAAAAAGTGTTTGATTCAGAGGCCAACAAACAACAATTGAAAGTTTAGGTAATTCTAAAAATACTAGTAATTTAGCCACACACTTTTGAGAGGGTTTATAATTGATAAATTAACCCCAAAGTTGATTTTTTTTTAAATATGATTTAAAGTGTTTGAATCACGCTGAAATTTTAATAGCGTCTTAATTAAATATAAAAAAAATTAATTCCAAAAAGGCAGACATTTTTTCCGGGGTTTAATTGCAGGCCAACATAAAAATGAATGAACCTCGTTATGCGCCACTATGCATTGAATAAGTATATACTTTTTAAAAACTAAACATTTTAAATTACCAAGACTGTGAAATAATAAAACAATATTTTTCCTTTTTTTTTTAGAAAAAAAAAAACAAAAAAAAAAAAAAGTTTCGGGGCTCGAACCACCAACTTGCTATCCACACTATCAAAATTTCGTAATCTTTGCCCTATATAAAAAATATACAGTGAGTAGGGAATTCTTAAAATAATTACTTGGCGTTTGTGCTTCTTTTTCGTGATCCAATATAACTCTAGACGGTGTCTGTCCATTTATAGTGCACAAATGATGGTACAACTGTGCCAGATCTTCAGAAACCCCTTGCAACGAATTTTGGCTTTCATCCAAGGAAGCGCCGGCCTCGCAAGCGAAATCTCTCAACAATTTAAGATCCCCGTCCAGATCGATACTCTTCTGTTCGGTGTCAAACAACTTGTTTTTAAGGTTAGTTATTTCGTTACGGAGCTGAAGTGTTGAATCTGAGATGTTAGTGAGGTTTTCTAGTTCTTTGATGTCCCGCTTTAGAAGATCGATTTCTTTGGAGGACATTTTGAACCACTGTTGGTATTGCTGGAGAGCCCTAGATGCTTCTTCTGCTGGTTTCGCTAGATTTTTGTCGGCCGTTTGGGCTAAGTGTTGTAAGGAATCCACATGGGCAGCTAATTGGGTCAAACGGGCCACGAATACCTATAAATGATATTGGAAAAATCAGAAAACTAATGTATTTATTACTTATTTATTTATACAGGGTACCGAAAAAGTCTGGCAAAAATGAATTTTCTTTGAAACGTATCTCCAAATTATTTAAATTTCCATAAAAATCTCTAAACCTGTACTTTCACAAACTACATCGGAGGAAAAATCTAAAAAATCCCTACATGGGAAAGCTCGATATTCACATAAAATTAAGATTTTCCCTCGACAACAATCACAAATAGCCTGCTTTCGTTTTTCCAACCGTCAAAAAGCAACCTAACCCAGAAACTGGTCACGATGTCCAGCCTACAGCCTAGACATGACCAGGCCGAGTGGGTTCAGTAAGCATCCTATGATCATTTACCAACATGTCTTAGAGACCATTTACGAGAAAGTAACCTAACAGAATCCAAGAAACCTACAAAACTATATCTATATACAATAAAACAATTTTAAAAATTGATCTCCTGACAAAAATCGATACAAAAGCTGATAGCGAAAAATCTCCTCACAAGCACCAACATCACAAAACTACAATTAAAAAAAACTCGCCTCTCTGATACAGTGAATCGTATCTCTAGAACAGAATGCGAAACGTCAACTAAGCCAGACTCGATTATTGTGAAGTTTCCATTACCTGACATTCGGAACAAGACCTGAAAGACGTCGTAGTCAAATGTTCCGTTACTTGACTTTACGTCATTCGTAGATTAGCATGTTTGACAGCTTAACAATAACATTATTAAAAATAAAAACACAGCTTCGATGTTATTTTATCATTAAGAATTAATTTTCTCGTGGTAAGGAACAAAACAAAAAATAAACCAGTCAAGGACAAAAATATGGCAGTAAGGGCAGAATAACAAGTCAATAATTGTACAACTTAGGTACTACGAATAAATTCCTATACTCCTGTTTATTGATAAGATGCATTAAATAATAAAAAACTAGCAACCTGCAAGTTGCCAATACATACAGCTAGTTTTCAATAAAATAATATCTTCAGAAGCTTATATCGGCTTATAGAAATAGAACAATTTTATTCTCAGTAATACATATATAAACATGCTTACATAGTCGTCAGTACACATAAATGGTAAAATACACATTTTCGGCCATTTTGTATTCACTAGTCAGAAGGTAAATCGAATTTAAAACCTAGTATTTGGTACTGCCAAATATGCACGTTACAACTTTAGATGTCCTACTAGATGTTCAAGAAAATCCTAAAACGTCTACATATGAACTGTCGAGAAATAATGGTAATAGCACGAAGACTGTACCGGGTGTTCCATTAAGAGAGGTAGCTATATTTCAGAAACTAATAATAGTACAGCTTTGGGGAAACATATTTTTAATAAAAACGGTCAAGAGAAATTGCTGGAAATTATTTTCAAGTTTGTACGGTGGCCGCTAGGGGGCGTAATTGTGACGTCAAAACATAAAAATGCAATTTTCTCAAATAAATACCAAGTAAAGTATATTGATAAATATTACTATTTTATTCTTCAATGTTTTCTGAACAAAAAAGCTTTAGGTGTAAATTTTGTCAGTTGTGAAATAGAGTGGTGGGGGAAGGTTAAACTTTAATTTGGAAATATGCTCATAACTTCGGTTTGGCTTTACTGAATTTAGTGAACTTGGTTTCGTTTAGAAGAGCTTTTTCAGCCTCATTTTTAGATTTATAAACTGTGGCTGCTTACGTTTTATGAACGCCGCTAGAGGGCGTTAAGTTAAAAACTGACAAATTTTACGAAATTTTTCGAAAAATTTGAATATAACGATATATACCTTTTTACATAGTTAGATAGAGAAAAAAAAGCCTAATACTTTGGCGAAAACCGCATTTGGATATCTCTTTTCAAACCGCAGATTTTAGCAAGAATATAAATAGAACGTAGAAACGTAACACATTTAATGACCCAGCATTTTCTATTAGGTCCATTTTTTAAGGTTTAAATTAAATTTATAAATTTCTGCAAAACCTAATGCCCAATCATGATACTTTAAATAATCGAATGATATTAGATAAGAATGCATAATTACTTATAAGTATAATAATCCATTGAGCGTGTATATTTGCATATCAAGTAAGCTGTTTTAGTTATTATTTTTGTAAATTAATGTAACTGTTCAACAATTACATGTAATATGTCTACAGCAATTTTTTCTTGTATTAATTACATTAGTAATATGGTACTTTTTTTAGTAATCTTGAAAAGAGGAAAAAATAAGCTTTTCTTTGATATATAACTCGAATTCAAGATAGCACCCCTGCCCTAAATGCTGACATCACATAAAAATGCAGAATACAATCGTTTCAAAGAAAATACCTTCTTGCCAGACTTTTTCATTGCCCTATATATTTATTTATTGAACAACATATAGGAACTCCCAATTACAATAAAAAATATACATTAATTTGCTAATTTCATTTTAAAAACAAACATAATGTAAATATAAAAAAACTGTACCTGCAATTCCCCTTGGCTCTTCTCAATCAAACCTTGGTTCTCCCTCAAATTCTGTGTCAATGTCAATTTATCCTTCTCCAAACTCTCCAGCTGCTTTTCCAACTTTCTCAGCTCATTAAGATGTACTTCGGAGAAAAGGTCCACTTGCTTGCCGTCCGGAGATTGCACTTCGCTGCAAATGGTCGCCTCGATGTGTTTCAAGCCTGGAAGATCGTCTTCGCAGTCACTACTAACCGCATCTTCACCAGCCATACCGCGAATGCGATACGCTAGATTGTTGATATTATAGAATGATTCACGGTTGATTTGTTGGTCCAGTTCTTTTTTCAAGGCGTATTTTGCCTCACGTTCACTCTGTAACAAATTCAAATTATTGATACTTTAGATCACACTTTTACAATATAGATAATTTATCAAAAATTGTGCATTTTAAATAACAAAATTAGAGATTGTAAGTATGATTTGCTACCACTTAAATATCGATTTTTTTATTTCTGAACTTCAGTAAAGCATTTGTATTTACATAGAATGGAAAAATGAAATCAAATATCGAGGTCTAACCCTGGACAACAAACTTCTCTGGAACTTACATGAGAAGGAAGCAGTAAATGCCACAAAACCCCTTATGGTATGCAGAAATATTGCAAGTAAAAGATGGTGATGTAACCCGAACACACTGCGATGGATGTATAATGCAATAGTGAGACCAATCATCACTTACGGATAACATAACTCGTTTAGCTACTACGAGAGCTAATATCTCAAAAGTACAAAGACTAGCCTGTGTTTGCATCAACGGCGCAATAAGAACCTGTCTTAAGACCGCAATGTGGGTGATCTTAACCTCACCCCTCTACATTTAATGATACAAAATGGGGCAAAAAGGACACGATATAGAATAACAAAAGTCTATTAGCTTCTGGACCGAAGATGAAATGAGAAAAAAGTACAATTTTGTGCGGTATCAGCAGTAACACAATATAAGGAGAGACTAAAAAAGAATTGGGCACTAGTAGAACCGATAATTGGAACAATGTCTTGGGGCTAAGATAGGTTTAGATAATTCTGGGTGAATATAACCAGAAAAGATAGAAAGTCTGTATAGCAGGGAGTTGGAAAGGCTTTTGGTAGCTAGAGAGGGGGTAAACGTCAAACCACGTTGGACGATTTCAAGAATTTCGTGGTAATGTTTATCTGTCAGTGTCGTTTCATAGCAGAGTTGGGTAGTATCCGGATACTTTATGTGTATCCGAAAGCTGTATCCGGGTACTTTTCAAATTTTGTATCCGGTATCCGTATCCATGACCAATTTTGTAAGTATCCGGATACTTTTTTCGGCATTCGGATACTTTTAAATTATTTACCACAATCGTAACTGATCCAATCCATATTATCTCAATTAAAATATATAATCGAATTACTTTGAGCTTCCCTGTATAATTAGAAATAAAATACGTATTTTTCAATATTAGAATATTTAAGACACAATTGCATTAGGTACCTACTTAAATAAAAAATAGTAAAATAATTATTTTATTATGATTTAAAATAACCCAAAAAAAATTATCATCGCCAAGGATGAATTCGACGATTCACCCAGTATACAGACGGTCGGGATTCAGCATATTGCGGCACGTTTTTGCAGAAAAAACCTGCAAACCCTTGTCCGGTGTTAGCGTCACGAACTTGTGGAAGTTCCATTAGCCCAGTTAGGTTTCAGTTAACAAAGACAAGAGACGGTTGTTCCTGTTTTTATATAGTGCAATATAACCAAACTTTCTATATCAGTTTTAGTGCCTAACTATACGTAAAGATAAGTAGATGTAGGTAACTTGAATTTTTTGTTTTGTAAAATGTGTAATTACATTATTAGTTCTTAAAATGTAGTCAAGAAGATACATTTATGATGTTGTTGCTCATGTTACTGATCATGTGTTATTTATATCGTCATCAACATCAATAAAGTATACAGATCTGACAAGATCAAATTTACGAGCTTGCTTTGCCTATGCCAGAACGAAACATTCAGCAATCTCTCACTCCTTCTCCTTTCGACGCTCTCGACTCTACCAAGTACCGCTCGTCGGAGGATCCACGAAAAATGGATTGTCGAATACATCTGACACTGACGAGAATATCGAAAGGTTGTATAAACATGGCAAGTCGCGCCAACAACGAGCTTATTTCTTTAGATTTATATAGACACGACACTGGCTGGTTTTTGGCACGGTTCAGGCGCGACTCGTTTTATTTACACGCACCTTTATGCTTTATTGTTCATTTTGTTTTAATGTTTTATATTCACAGAATAAAAATAATAAACAATTTATTGAGTAGTTTTTTTCCTGTTTCTATTATTACGCTATTTTCGATAATTTATTTATGTCTAGTATTGTTTATTATTACTCGTAATCAATTTTATTGCATAATTAAAACTATTGGTATGAAAACATTGTTTTAACTCACTTTAAAAGTATCTATAATAGTATCCTTTTTAAAGTATCCGAAAAAAGTATCCGAAAAAAGTATCCAAAAAAAGTATCCGGATACTTGTATCCGGATACTTTTTAGGTGAAGGTACCCTAAAAAGTATCCGGATACATTGTAAGTATCCGTATCCGATACTCGGATACTTTTTTCCTGTATCCGACCTAACTCTGTTTCATAGAATAAGTATTATAATCTCCTAAATCATAATTCTACAAAATTTCAACAGCTATTCACAATTTATTAAACTATTTACCTGAAATTGTTATTAACAACTATAAAATAATTTTGAACGCCAATGTATCGCGTCTACTTCGGTTAGCTCCGCAGCGGCAACTGTCAATTTCTGTGTATGAAGTGGGAGAACTGCGAGAAGCCTTTCCGACTTCTGTACCTGCTATATCTGCCTGAGCAAGAACAGGCTACATGTGGTAACACAGTTACCCTCTTTTGACGGTACCCCACTGGGACAGTGTTCTCTGAAGTTCACGGCGTATTGTTTTAGTTTGTCTAGGGCGATCATGTAAGACGGTAGATAACTCGGACACTCGCACTTCCTACACACATACATACAAACGTGGTTTTAACGTACACATATTACAGCCGGTCATTCAGTGGGCACATACAAGACAATCCTTCTATTCATAAGCAAATAAACAATGGAATCATTCATTACATTATATCAGTTCATTCGTTTCTTAGTTATATGTTAGTTTCTTGTTCTGATAATAAAAGGTTTTTCACCATAACCCTACGTGCTTTATTATCAATAAGCTACAGGGATCCTTACTGGGCATTGCCGACTCAAAGGATACCTCAGTAAACTGAGAGTAGTGGAAGATAGAAAGTGCAGATTCTGTGAGGAAAAGGACGAAACATCCATTCACATTCTGACTAAATGCGTAGCACTCCAGAATCCAAGAGTACTATACATGAGCATATCAAATAGAATGGGGAGATTTCCCTAACTTGAAGCCACTCCAAATGATAGAATTTTTGTAGGAATTACGAAGATTAGTAGACTATTCGTTTCTTATAAGAAAAAAAAAATTTAAACCAACAATTGCCTTATTTTAATAACAATAAATTGTTTAATATATTTCTTATATATCTGTATTTTTATTTATTCCAAAATATAAAAAACAAATAATATAATTAGACTCGGAGATTTGGCTACCACTAAATATTTACAATGATTTGAAAAATACCAGTACCAATAAACAACTATATAAGGATTTTTTTATGAAAGATTATTGAATATATATAAGAGTAGATATTCTAGGAAGAAGAATATATCACAGTTGGACATTGCAAAAGAACCCACTAAGCAAAACATTTTTCAAATGTCCTTTATAACTGTTATGATGGAGAATCTTGATGTTTGAGTTTCATATACATGTTTCAATAACTTTAGAGATGAAGGGAAGCAAATATATCAGTATATAGTTGAAAGCAATGATATCAATAATTGAAACCCAGAACCGTTACTGAAAGAAGTGAGATTTACTAAAGTGTACCGTGTACCTACTAAAATAATTTAACAATTTCATTTTTGTTTTTAAATAGTTTAGCAATTTCATTCTTGAATTTTTTAAGTAGGTATCTCCCCTGTTATTGTGACTTCTCCACATGTCTTTGTAGATTTCATTTATTTAATGTTATTTTTTATTTCATGGGGATGTTGTGGTTTCTATCTTAAAGACAGTTCTGTTAAATAACTTTCTTGATGAAATGAAATTTGTTTAATATATTTTCTGTGCTAATTCTGGATCAATTTTAGTGAAGTAGGTGTTTAATTCACCTGCAATAGATATACTACCTACCCTTTTATATTCCATGACTATTTGCAATATGTTTACAGCATTTTTATTCAGATATTTATTAGGCATAAAGGAATTCAATATTTTTCATTAGTTATGTACATTTAAAATTAATTATTCCTATTAACAAAAAAAAAGAACATTTTATGTATTCAATGTTAAGCTGAAGTCTCAAATATATCATTAAGGTAATATAAACCCTACATCTAAAGATTCATAATAATTAAATTATATTTTTGTACAAGATACATTTTATTTTATTCCAATGTACAAGAAACTTTGTTAGATATTGAAATTCAGCTGAATTTAAAATTGATAAGTGACAATTCTATAGACTACCTAAGTCGTAACGTCACAGGTGGGTGGAGCTAAACGAACCTTTCCAATCTATACATATCGAAAATAAATTACAAATGCCCATAAGCAATTTGTAATTACTGTGTGTTTATTTATGCAAATTGTGTAAGAATAAGAACGGTTGGTTAAATATTTCTATAAGTGTGTATTGAATAGTTTTTTTCTCTAAAAATATTTATTTATTTACGGGCAAGCCCATTTAAGTTACAAAAAATTGTTAAAAATCACATTGGTGTATTTTGAATGTTGTGGTTTGTAACCTACCGCACCCAGGTACCATAATCATTTATTAATTCCATTTTATTAAAAAAAGTTGCATTCTTATTAAATACCAAATTCTTCATTTAACAAAAATCTCCCAGATAATTAAATCTTATTTACGACACCTAATAAATAATATCTATAACCCAGCCCGTAAGAGATCCAATTTCTTAAGTGTCTGGGAACGCAATCTAAAACCACCATACAACACGAAGTAATAATCATTAAAACTCTTAACGCACTTATCTTAAGTCAGTTTTGAATAGGAACGTTGTTTTCGATACACAAACTTTCCAAGGCAAGTAATAAATCAGCCACCCCCCTATCCACCTAAATTCGTATTTTCTATGAGAAACAAAACGATAGAGACGTCACAAAAACGATTAAACTGTGTATAAAAACCAGAGTTAAATGAGCTCAGAGGCATTC